GAGCCTTTGACCCTCGGGCAAAAGCTGCTAATGTAGGTGCCTTAAGAATTAGAATAAGGTTTTGGGGGGTTTCCTTTAAGGGTTCCTTAAAGGGTTCTATAAGGGCTACTATAAGGGTTTGGGGTGTAGGGGCCTCAACAACATTCAATAACTAGACTAGGGTTCTGGGGATTCCTTATTATAAGTATAGTATAATGAGCCCCGAAACCCTATTCTAATTATTAAGGCTCCCATATTATAAGTCTTTTCTTACCATAATTTCTCTCACTATTCCTTGTAGGGTTCCTTATAATCATGATGCTCTAATGTGCCCCCGCCCCAAAACTACTTTAGTACTACCAAGCCCCTCATAGATTGCAGGAATCTGAAAGCATTTTAAGGTTGGTTCATCCCAACTCGGGGCGTTTGGATAGGTCAAGTGTGAATGCTTCGTATCGTCCATCACGGTCCGGCCGCAGGTGAAGAGCCAGTAGTCAAGACTTAGTTCCCAATACCCAACCTTTAAACTTTTTGGGGTTCTTATATAATTTAGCAGTAGTCTGGAAGCTTAACCTTCATTTCCCTGGCTTCTTGGGGAAGTAAGAAGAAGTCCCTACATCCAGGCCCAGGTAAAGGTTGCAGAGTGCACAGGATGACGGATGTGAGAGGGTCAGGACGATTGTAGACACTGACAGATTCCTCCGTTCTAATGAGGATTGTACTAGGGATCCGTATAAACATTCTGCTTTTAAAGATTATGCATGATGATGGCGAGTAGCATGGCGGCATAAGTGGAGAACATCAGGCAGGCGATTCACTGACAGAAACGAAGTATGTACTGGAACTGGGTTCTTGTTGAAGAACTTCATTTCAAGTCACCATATTAGGGATCTATGGTAAATACAAGGGCTTTCTTATTCCGGAAACTTATAAGTTAAGTTCCTGAAGAGGGTCTTTGCCATATCCCAGGGTTTGGCTTCCGAGTTTGTTGGGGGTTGCCGTGTTTCGGGTTTAATAGTATAGTATTATATACAGTATATGATTAGTATATGAGAGTACACTACAGTAAGTTATAGTACATTATAGTATGTTATTATATATTCTTCTATGTTAGAGTATGTTTTATCGCATGTTACAGTATATTGCAGTATCATTATCGTATGTAATAGTATATTATCATATATTAAAGTATACTATAGTATACTATAGTATAATATAGTATATTATAGTACATTATAGCATAGTATAGTAGATTATAGTATGTTATAGTATACTAAAGATATCGCCCGCATCCCAGAAGGACTAGACCTCAGCCCTGAGTCCCCCGAGCCCCTGATAAAACTCTGCACCGTGAATGCCGGTAGATGACTGCGCAAGCTGGGTTTCGGGTTTAATTAGGGTCTAGGGTCTAGGGTTTCGGGTTCCGGGTCTAGGGTTTAGGGTTTCGGGTTCAGGGTCTAGGGTTTAGGGATTTGGGTTTTAGGGTTTTGGGTTTAGGGGTTTAGGATCTAGGGTTTAGGGTTGATTAGCGTCCTTAATCTTAACCCGTGCGGAAAGCTGAAGCCCTCAAACTTACTATCTTATTATACAGCCTAACTCCCAAGCCCGCAACACGAATCCCAGGTGCGACCAGATCTTGGAGAGGAGCTTGAAAGAGATCTCCTCACTAGGCTTGCCTTCCGGCAGAGGGTTGTAGGGTTTTTGATAAAGCTTGGGGTTGAGTGTTTAGGATTCTGGCTTACAGGCATTGTGAAGATCGTAGATGAGCCAAGGGGGGCTGCGAGAATCGGGGTGTTAATGACCCTACACCTTAGACCCCTAAACCCTAAACCCCAAAACACCTAAACCCTGAACCCTAAACCCTAAACCCTAAACTCCTAAACACCTAAACCCTGAACCCTAAACCCTAAACCCTAAACCCCTAAACACCTAAACCCTGAACCCTGAACCCTAAGCCCTAAACCCCTAAACACCTAAACCCTGAACCCTAAACCCTATAAGACCCTAAACCCCTAAACACCTAAACCCTGAACCCTAAACCCTAAACCCTAAACTCCTAAACACCTAAACCCTGAACCCTAAACCCTAAACCCCTAAGCACCTAAACCCTGAACCCTAAACCCTAAACCCTAAACCCTAAACCCCTAAACACCTAAACCCTGAACCCTAAACCCTATAAGACCCTAAACCCCTAAACACCTAGACCCTGAACCCTAAACCCTAAACCCTAAACTCCTAAACACCTAAACCCTGAACCCTAAACCCTAAACCCCTAAGCACCTAAACCCTGAACCCTGAACCCTAAACCCTAAACCCCTAAACACCTAAACCCTGAACCCTAAACCCTATTTGGCTCAAGCCATTTTGGCTCAAGCCATTTTGGCTCAAGGCCCCCGTAGGTGCCTCTTTGACAGGTCGTCCTGCCCCTCGGCACAGGTCATTGGGTTGCGGGTGCAGGGGGAGTTCTACCCGATCCTGACGTTTCCGGGTGAGCTCGGCGGCAGTTCGAGGCGCTGGGGACCTTCGGTTACACGATTCTGTGCGAGCACTTCCTTGCAGACTACCGGACGATGGCGGGTCAGCTCCAGCTGGGGCGAGGGGGAAGCGGTGGACCGCCAGGGCTGGGTAGTGGAGGCATGCCGGCAGTTCCGGAGAGCTCGGGCGACGACTCCAGTCCTAAGAGGAGGCGAAGCATCGAACCTGCAGCAGCCGGGATGAGGGGCAAAAAGAATAAGGTCCCGGCGGATGGCTTCGACTGGGGGGCCTTGCGGGCGCTCCTTGGAGAGCAAAAAGAGGCCATCGTTGCGGAGACCCGCGAACAGGCTGCTGCGCTCATTCAGGCTCTGGACCGCAAGGTCGATGCGAAATTTCAGCAGGTTGACCACAACATGGAAGCTATGACCAGAAGGATGCAGTCCTTTGAGGAACAGCTGGCCAAAATCCAAGGGGACATAAAACAGGCGCCGGGACCGGGCGGAGATGATGAGGCACGCAGACGGTCAACGCTCGTGTTTGGAGGTTGGGAGACGGACACAGCTAGACGCACCATTGTGTCCGAGGTGGAAGAGGCTTTGGAGAAGTTGGGGTTGGCTCGCTTTACGGACTCCCCTGCCTTTACCACTGGCCCCCGCAGAAGCGTGGCACTTATGAACTTCGACATCCGGGCTGGAGAGGCTGAAGCGGACCGCAGGCGCCGCATGCACGCCATTGTGGCCGGGATTGCGGAGGCCAAGCCTTTTACCTCGCATAAGCGCCGTTTGTGGGCTAGCTATTCGAAGAGCAAGAGGGAGCGTGACGTCGCCGCCCACTGCTCTTGGGTCAAGCGCACGGTGGCGAGCTTCAATCGGGACCTGATCCAGCATGTGGAGGCCGAGTATGGCACGGGCACGGTCTGGATGGGGGACAAAGTCGTTGCGAGTGCTACCCGGGCCCCACCTGCGAATTTGCCAGAGGACACCCTCTTGTGGGACGAAGACAAACTTGGGAGCAGGCCTTGGATTGACCTCGGGAGCATGGCCAAGTTCAGTGGGATTTCGGTGGTTGACCTCAGGGCCGGGTTTGGCGATCAGAAGCGCTGAACCTTGGACGACTCGTCTGCCAATTTGGTAAGAATTAGCCAGGAGGTGCAGGACTCCGCGAAACGTGTGGGGGCCTGCAGCAGACGGGCTATGCAGGACCGTTTTCTTCAGGACACGGGAGGCAGCAGGCGGGAAGACGCCGCGCCACTGTCGCCAGTGAAACGTGCAGCCACCTTTGCGTTCACGACCTGGAACTTGGGGGGGAGCTCGGTAACCGATTACCCTCGGGTTGTGGCCGATGTGATGAAAGGGTTGCAGCATGACACCTTACTTTCCTTTCAGGAGCTGAACCGCGTGTCACCTGGCTGGCAAACTTGCTACCATCAGGGGTGGACCACCGGCATGAGGATGTATGGAGGGGATCGGGCATCTCCTACCACACAGCAAGATGGCGAGTGATGAGGAAAAAGCCTACCAACAGAGGGGTCTGGATTCGACTACGACATGTCACAGGGTTTGAAGTGTGGGCGGGCACTGCCCATTTCACACCGGGATGCACACAGCCGCAGCATGCAAAAGAGGTTCATGAACACCTGTCAGGTTTACCACCCACTTCGCTGCCGATCTTATTCTCCTGCGACTTGAATGCTGAGATTGCGTGGGGGTTCGACGAGGAAGGGGTCTGTAGAGCCGTTGGAAACAACGGTAAGACTGAGGAATTCCTAGGACAGTGTTTGCGCAGGAACCTGCAGCCGATACCGCCGAGAGAGCAGGACTTTTCGACACCTACGAGCAGGCCAAGGCAGGCGCACCGGGAGGGTCGGCAGATTGACTGCGTCTTGGCTTCCAAGGGGGTTGCTACACAGGTACACATTTACAAGGATTCTTACATGGCGGTGGGAACGGACCATGAGCTGCTGTCTGCGAATGTCGCCGTCAAGGCGGGCAGGCATGGGACCTTGCACAGCACCTTACCAAGGGTCTGGGTGTCAGGGCCCCCTGAAATACCGCAGATCACACAGCCGCTTCTGATAGATCTTGCCGCAACGGCGACTAAACCTAGACCTGGACAGGCCTACAGGGACCCCCCAGAAGTGAAGGACGCGTTTCGCAGGGCTAGGGGTGACAGAGCCGCGGCTTCTTGGACTGCTGCTCGTAACCTGCGGAAGAAGGCCCGGCGACATTGGGAACAAGAACGACTGGAACGAGCCACGGCAGGTGACTGGGCCCTTGTGCGGCAATTCAGACCGGCCAAGCACAGGGGGTGGGACACGACCTTTGCTGAGGCACAGGACGGCCGGGATCCCCATGAAGCCATCCACGAGCACCTCGAGAGCATCTACACAACGGGCCTAGTCATCCCTCCCCTCCCGCCCTGGGACGGAGAAGTTGTGCCCTTCACTGAGGACGAACTACGCTTGGCTCTGCATCGAGGGAAACTGCATAAGGCAGTTGGGGTGGACGGGACCAGTCACGAACTGCTTCAGGGAATAGCCAGCACGCCAGGAGGGTTTGCAGCGCTGCTCACCTTCTATAACGACATCTACGCTCATGCGAGCATACCCGAGGACTGGAATGTGGCCTTGATGATTGTCATACCTAAGGAGGAAGCACCGCTTGACCCAGCGTCCCTCAGACCGTTGGCTATGGGGAGCGCGGCATCTAAGGTTTACAGTCGGTTACTTCTGGGTCGCACAGTGCCGTGGCTGAATGCAGGGGAAGGAGCGCAGTGCAGTGGAGAGGGAAAACAACCGGCTGAGTATATTTTTGGGATGTCCAGGGTGATGGAACTGGAAGCAGAATGGCACAAAGGGTTGGTTGCGGCTAAGATCGACATACGGAAGGCCTTCGACATGTTGCACAGGCCAGCATTACTCGACCGGTTAAAGCAAGCCATAGGGGATGGACCCACCTTTCGCAGTTGGCAGGCTATGCTGGTCGACACTTCGGCTGTTCTGCAGACCAGTTGGGGAAGTTCGCGACTTCAACTGGACAGAGGGATCAGGCAAGGGTCGGTTGAATCACCCATCCTTTTCGGCTGGTTGGCGGCAACCATACTGCATGATGTTAAGAACAAGCATGCTTGGCAGGACAGACACAGGGTTTTCGAACAGCTGGAATGCCAGGACTTGTTGTTCATGGACGATGGGTTGCTTTGGGCTGATACGAGCAAGGAAGTCTCCCGGCGCCTTGAGGAGTGGGCTGCGGAACTTGCGATTCATGGCCTCAAGCTCAATCCTGCAAAGTGCAAGGCCTACTTTTCCCCATATTGCACACGTCAACCTCCGGTCTCAGTCCAGGGGACCATGGTCCCCCAGGTAGAGGTACTCGAAGTGATGGGGGTTCCCTTCCGGGTGGGAGCCTCGGCAGCAGACCTGTTGGCGCCGTTCTTGGCGCGAGGGCGCGACAAATTCTGGGCGCTGAAGCATTTGCTGCGAGCCCGCACCCCGCTTGCAGGTCGAATCTTTCTGCTGGACAAGATCATTGGAGGGACGTCGTTATGGTGCCTGAGCGCTCTGGCACCTGATGCATCGGCCTTGGCTCTGCTCAACAGCATGCAATTGCAGTGTGTGGTTTGGGCCATGAGGGTTGGAAAACGGCAGGATGAAGGGTGGCTCAGCTTCAAACAAAGGGCTTACAGGGGTGCCAGACAAGTCGTATGGAGGGTTCTGCACAAGAGGTGGTCCACGGTCTGGTTGGAAAGATGGTGGAACTTCTCAGGACACAGAGCCAGAGCCTTGGACAGGGACTTGGTACCACACTCTTCCCTCATCGACAACTACAGAAATAGGGCTTGGTGGACTAGGGAGCAGCACCTCACTCGTGGAGTACGTCACCCGAGGCATTTCCCCAAGTTGTCCAATCTCGAGAGGGATATGGACAAGGCAGCTGGGGGTCACCCATGGCGCAGGGTTGCAAGGGATAGACTTCAATGGGCCAGTCGCTGTGAGCATTGGGTGCGGTTAATGGACCCACCTTGGGCAGGGAGTAGACAGGAGCGTCTGCAGGGATGAGGGACATGCATTGTGGAATGAGTGAAGGTTGCACACCTGAATATTTCCGCAGCGCGCAGTGCTGACATTCCGAAGCCGTGACCGCGCACTCCTTGACCGCCTTGCTGATGTGGTGGCTTCCCTTCGTGCTGACCGCTTCGTGGGCCGCTCACGCGGCGGCGAGCTCGGCGGAAAGCGGACGGTTGCCCCTGGACCATGGCGAGGCTGCTACCAATGATTACCGCTTTGACGCCTGTCGACAGGCGAGCGCAATGACCCTGCCGAAATAAGGCCAACTCTATGACCTGAACCCGAACATGGCCACGACCCACGACTACCACCACGGCAACCTCTTGCTGAAGCACACCCAGCCACAGGACGGCCTACCGCACGACGGCACCTACCTCATGCAGATTGGAGCCCGGTTGAGTTGGGAGGGACTGCTGGCGGACTTGCGACATGACCTTGAGATGTTGCCAAAGCCTCAGAGGGCGGAAGCAGTGGTGCAGCTGCTACGCTGGCTGGACTACCGCGCCACGGATAAAGAGAATGGCTACCTCTTGGGGCATATGAAGGGTCGACCAGCTGACCTCACGGCCCTGCTGGTGGCTGCGCTGGAGGACACCCAGGTTGATGCTTCGACCATCACCGCGCCCTGGTGCTCCACCTGGGTGCTCGACACTCGACGAAGGCTGAAGGAGTTCATCTCATGTCATGAAGGCTCCCACGAGAGCTGGGGGAAACCCATGGCAATAGGTATGCCATGCATCATGCTGTTTGGACGACCACCGCCAACAAGCACACCGCCGTCTTCGCCTGGCCTCAGCGCTGTGGTGGATTTGGACGAGGAGAATGAGCGCGGCTCGGCCAGCAAGCGCAGGTGCCTGGCGGTTGAACTCAGCTCGGGCTCCGGTGACGCCCCGCGACTTTCCAGGACTTTGCGTGTGCCCTTCCCCAACGATGTGTGCAGCTTCCAGGTAAATGTCAGGGTTGAGGAAACGGACGACAGTGAGGCTACCACAACGGTGGTGCACCAACCTGAACGGTCCCTACGCCAAGACCGACCACATCCGCCTGGCTTCCAACTTCCGCAACCAGCGCCTGGGGAGCTCTCAGCATCAGGCATCTCTATGAACGAATTCCTGGGACTTTGGAGCGGGTGGAAGTCGGGAACCATCGGCTTCGATGACGTGGCAAGGGTCTATGGCGATGCTGCGGCGAGACTCGTTCAACAGCACTGGCACGACCTTCCCTCCGAGGCCTACTCGCTCCCCACCATCTACCCACAGCAGGAACAGAACCAGGCCACGGAGACGCCCCAGCCGATGCACACGCCGGCCACAACACCACATGGCTCAATGCCGCCCGAGACCGAGCTACTTAGCAACCCCATGCCAGAAACGGCGCAAGAAGCCACGGATGATGAGACGGGTCTCCTTGCGGTTGTCCTTCGCCTGCTGCCCGCTGTCCAGGTCTTGGCCCCTGAAACGCCGGTGGTTTGTGAGCAGACAGCCATGCAGCTGGCTGCCCGATGGATCCGCCATCTGCGCAGACAGGGGCTCGAGAACGTTGTGATCGTCAGCTGCCTCTTGGTACAGGCGCAGGCTCGAGCTGATCGGGAGTATGCCATGGACTGGGAGGATGTCCTCTTGGAGCTTGGACTAGACGTCGAGGGCGACTTCCACAGAGCCGAGGAAGTACCGACCGCAGTGCGTGCTATGCTACAATGGGTGGAAGCGGAGATGTGGGAGGACTATGTGGACAGGCTTGTTGGATGGGAGTCACCACAGGTTGCCAATGCCAGAGGGATGGACAACATGGCTGCGAGTGCTAGAGAGGAATGGCGAAGACGAGCCCTTGATGGGGACATGGACCTCGACTTAACACCACCAACTACGGGCCGTAGAGTAAGGCGGCGCCGGGACCAGATCCAGGAGGGTGATGGGGAGACGGAGGATGACACGCAATCGCTCATGGAACGCCCGCACCGACGAGGAGATCGGGGACGAGACAACAGCCGGGACGGGCCTGAACGCAGAGGAAGAGATACCAGGGATGCCAGAGGAGGTCCGCGGAGAGGCGCGGATGTGCCGGAAGAGCGCACCAGATCGCGAACTGCGGGCTCCGCGCGGACAACCAGGTGTACTGAAGAGGTGCGGAGATTGGAGCCTCGGCGCCCACATGCACCCAGGCTGCCAGGACTGGTACCCACCACCACGAGAGCGGCATTGCCCACTCTCTCGGTTGATGCGGCCACGGCGCATCGGTTGCACTTCCTCAATCTTCGGGCCTCGCCTACCACAACGACGTTGGAACCAGCTCTTCCTCGAGAAGGCCGACAGGAACGAATTGACTGGCTCGGCACGTTGCATGAACAGGATATGGCGGCGGCCATGGCTGGCCTCATGAGGGTTTTGTCAATGCTGATGGTGGAAACCACGCACATGCTTGTGACCCACCAAGCCACGTTCCTTGTGTCCGTCGACTTGGATGAGGAAGATGAGGAGGAGACGGTTTACATGCAGCAGGGCTGGGTCACGACAAAACGACAACGGACTACCTGCGAACCTACCGACGCGGACCTCCTGGAGGAACAGGAGGAACGAGCAATGCTGCAACGGGAGCGGATGGCTCGTGAGCGCCAACAGCTGGAGCACGAGGCAGAGGAGATCGAGTGGGAGGCCGAACAGGACCGCATGGCCAGTCAACTTTTTGCGGCGCACGAGGCTGGGCGCTACAAGGACTGGGAAAACTGGGTGGTGCTGAACACACCGCCGGCAGCACCCACCCGCCAGCGACTCAGGATTGTGGCGGAGGCGGTGGGCTATGAGGGCTCGGCTTCGGCGTCGGCAACCGCTTCCACAGTGCAGGTCATGGAGTGTGAGCTCCCACGGCTCAGACGAGGTGGGCTGCGGCTCACAGTGGAGATGGGCGAAGTTGGACGACCGAACCCACCGCCAACGGGAAGTCGGGATGGCCCGACGGCACCCGCCGCCCTGGAGTGCAGTGACACTGCTTGCTACGTACCGAATGCCGTCACCCAGCCGGATGAGGAAGCGCTGGATGCGGCTTCGGCTCTCAGCCACGCCGCCAACGGGGTTTCGAATGACGTGGCCCTGCCGGAGGAGGAGGCGTTACATGCAGCATACATGCAGTGGTCGCGAGGGGGTTGCTCGGACAGTGACATTCGTTCGCGCTTCGGAGATGACATCATGGCCGTGTTCCTGGCGCAGTGGCTCTCGGTTCAAGATGACTTGGCGGGCGATGACGTGATGGACACAGGGGTACATGTGACTCCAGAGGAGGGGACAGCGGTGCCAGAATCGCCAGAGGGTTGACGAACTATGAGTTTGACGTCACGGATGGCAAGCAATATGGTCCTGAGGGGTTGTTTTCTCACCTGCCTCCAGAGGCTTTCCGACGGCTGACAGCAGGAGGAAAAAGGTGCTCAAAAAAAAAAAAACCTAAACCGTTTAGGGTTTAGTTTAGTGCTGACCACCCCCGACGCCCAAATTGGAATATGTCGGCAGTTTGGGGCCCTACCGATGCTGCGATCCGTAAGCCCTTCCCATGAAGAGCCCTAAACACTAGACCCTTTCCACAAAGAGACCCTAAACCCTAAACCCTAAACCCTAAACCTGAGGTGTTCAACGAGTTTCGGGCGAGAAGGCCCTGGCTAGCGGCCGGGTTCCTGCGGCCGAAGGGGTGCGAGCCTTGGGCGCTTTCAGGGTTTAGGATTAAGGGTTCAGGGTCTGGGGTTTAGGATTTAGGTTTAGCGTGTAGGATTTATGGTTTAGGCATCCAGGCTTAAGATTCAGAGATTAGGGTTCCTCTGAGGACTTTAAAGGGCTCCTTCATTTGGGCGTTAGAGCTTCGGGGTTTAGAGCTTCGGGATTTAGGGTTAAGGGGTTTAGGGTTTAGGGTTTAGGGCTTTAAGATTTAGGATTTAGTGTTCGTGGCCATCGTGATGACGACGGTGATGTATCGTGCATCTTCAGGATCATGTTGCTGTTGACGATGGTGGTGATGATGATGACGATGATCACACATTATGGTGATGGGGTATGATGATGATGATGGTGATGATGGTTTTGAGGGTTAGGCTGATGACGATGAGGATGAGGATGGTGATGATCATCATCGTCAACCTCGGGCTCATCAGCATCGTCATCATCATAAATCATAACCATTACGAACGGTGCACAGCGCTAAACTCTCAACGCTGAACTCAGCTCAAGAAAATGCCCAGTATCGCCCTGGACTTGGTCCTCTGCGAGCGCAGCTTCGGGGCCCTCGCACGGCGTCTGTCCGGAGCTGCGGCCGGGCGTCCCAAAAAGGGTTTAAGGCTCAGGGTTTAGTAAGGGTAGGTTTAGGGCCCTAAACCCTAAACCCTAAACCCTAAACCCTAAACCCTAAACCCCTAAACCCTAAACCCTAAACCCTAAACCCGTTTAGGGGGAGCAAGGCTTTGAGGGCGGATGCTATACTCCAGCTGACTGTGAGGGCTGCTATGCGTTCGGATAAGTGTTGCTGCAGGTCTTCGGGTTGAGCGGTGCAGGGTGCTTCAGGGGTTTGCCGGTGCGAGGATTTTCCGGGGTTTAAAGGTTGTAAGTAGTGTTTTCGGGGTTTTTAGGACGTTCAGGGGTCTGGATGTTGAGTGCTAAGCTGCTAAGGGCGCGGGCTTGCTTTTGGCAGTTCGAGAATCGAGAAGTCCAGGTAGGAAGCTGGAAGAGACACACGATGGCTAGTGTTATAGTCAGGCGTCATGTTCAGTGCGAGTGACAATTAAACATACGCAAAGCCCAGTGGACCGAGTCATGAGGTTAAAACATAAGCCTTTTCAAACTTCACATTCCGCATAATGCCCGTTGTCACCAGCCGCGATCCATCAAGACCCGACGCGATGATTACCATTGCTGCTGCCGTCGTCATCATCATCATCATCATCGTTATCGCTATGATCATGATGATTATCCTCATCTCCATCCTCACCCACATCACCATCCTCCTGCCGCGATCAT